GAGGTAATTTTTCAGTCCCTTATCTCTTACTGTACATTTATGAGCTCATTCCACTTCAATTTTTTGCTTGCTAGTTTGATGTCTAATGAAAAGGCAAGGGGAAAATGGGAAAAGGATAGAATGGTTGTAGAAATGTTATGAAGTCATTGAGTTCGATAAAGCGCTCCAAAAATCTGCACGATAATTGATGTCAAGATCAGAAGCTAGTGACTTCTCATTCCATTGACTAGTTTTACTATCACTACCAATCATCAGCTTATAGACAATTAAACTATCGAATTTCAGTGTGGCCTGCGTATTCGGGTAACTAACTCGTTGCACAGGAAACTATGTCGAAACGGCGTTTCAATCCATCGGAGGAGGAGAAGATTCCAATAGTAGAGAAATTGTATAGGTATGTTAACGTTTCTTGTTATTCGTGAGGGTCTTTCAGATCACGGAGTACTACTTTAGTACTACCGCGTTCAATTCTAGGCAAGAATCAACCCTCCTTCAATGCAGCTGGTGGTTTTATGGACGATGACGATGAGTATGAAGAACGACGCGAGAAAATAAGCCAGTCGAGACAGCAGAGTTTGTTTAACTTATAAGTGTATATAAGGTGTTTCGCAGAATCAGTTCACCTCTCACAGTTCAAAGCGAAGGTTAATCGTTTATTACAGGAGCGGATGCAAAGTTTGCCAACCAAGAATGCCCCGATACCTGCATTAAGTGCAAGCGACCGATGTTCGACTCATGGTTGTGGGAACGATACAGCCATCCCGTGTGTGACGGCTGCAGGTGCTTCAGGAATTTTCTGTGATTTGATTTTTTTCAGTTCGAATTAAGTTTATACGCTTGCTCAGTCCTGCCTTTTCAGTTTCTCTATGCCCGATTGAAGGCACTGGGCACGATGTTTGGGGGCGGGGCATCACTTCCATCGTCATTGGTGGAAGGGCTAGATGGGTTTGGCCGAACGCCCTCTCGTAGCCCTTCCACCAATAAGTTTGGTGTACCCCCCGCCATTATGCCCGCTGCTCTTAAAAGAATTTGAGGAGATTAATTACGCCACACCATCTTTCCTCCTGCTTTGTCCTTTCTCTTACAATTATACACTTTGTCCCTAATTCGCGTTCCGACGTTTCTTATTTACGTGTTCCCACTGCTTCTTGAGGTTTTGTTACAGGACGATTTGGGTGAAGCATAAATGCTTCCTCTGAACTGAAGGGCGAAATCCATTTTACCTTGCTGAAGGACTGTGATCTGGATCTACGGAAACCAGTACTACGCTACTGGGCAAAAAAGAATCCTCATAATCCACGTTATGGTGACATGAAGCTGTATCTGAAATGTCAGGTAATACCATCTTGTCCTTGACTGAACAGCCCTTTCAGGACTTCTTCATCGTTCTGTAACCTTGATGGTACTGTCTTATAGTAATGATGATGGTAATTCAGGTAGTTGAGCGGATGCTTGAAATTTACGGTAGTTGGGAGGAATTCGAAGCGGAGAAGAAATTGCGCGCTACACAAAAAGAAACTAGAGCCGAGAAAAACTTTGAGAAGAAAAAAAAAAAAGAAGGTCAAGGAAATGAGGCAGCATGTAAGTTACGCTGTTCGATATTGTATTTTGGCAAGTGTTTTGGAAATTAGCTTTGGATGATCCAAGCATTGTTCGTACTCGAGCGTATACGCCCGTCTTGTAGATAAAGTATGATCTTAACGCTTAAGTAAATTTTCTTCACTAGTTTCATCGATGTTGTTTGTGAGTTTCAATTGAGTTTTTTCATAAATTACTTAGTTGTTTTACTCGGTTTGCTTCTTTTTTGCTTCGAGGTTTGGGCGAATTATCTCTGCGTTCTATTCAGATTCGTGGTCTTTCCGGTGTGAAAATCGAAGAAACTGCTGCCCATGACCATACCTATGGTGAGGAAGAGTATGATGAAGACAAGGATGAATATTCTAAGCAATGCACCCAATGTGATTATGTGCTGAGATATGAGAAATGTAAGTACTGATTCTGCTTTGCTCGGGCGTTTTTCGTTTGTAAACGTCGAAAATCGTTTTAAGTGGTGAGATCTCTGTTTTACTTACATCAATACATCATTCTTGAGCCTCTTGTGACTCGGTAGTAGACGGCGCTATAGTTGTGATGAGGGAGAGGGGTGCATGCAGGCTAATGCCGTTCGCACTCCAGAAATTTCGGCACCGAGCCCATTTTTAAATTGCCTAAGTCACCAAATCCGCTAAAAACTTGTACATAGGGGTAGTTTTTTTTTTTTTTAAAAAAAACAACCATGATATGACTATCCCCTCTTGGCGCTGGCGCCATCAGAAACGTTAACTACCTCTGTGATACAAGTTTTTTATGCGATTTGGTGACTTACGCAATTTAAAAATGAGCTCAGTGCCGAAATTTCTGGAGTCCAAACCGCATTAGCCGTGCATGCAGCGCTGCGGCAAAGTCCAATTTCTACAGATTTTGGTCGTCTTCGTGGTTCCGAGATAGAGAATGGGGATTGGAAAGAATTACTCCGCAGTCTCGCAGCTACCCTCCTTCTTCTGCTATTTCAACTACGGTACCGACGAACAGTGGCAAATGCTAACAGTTCAATTAAGAATATGCCTTTTTGGAAAGAGTACATGTATGATGACAGCGTGAGCTTTACCAGAGTTCTACTAGATGACGAGGACCTCCCCACCCCCACCTCTCCTCGCTTAGTCCGCTGGGTGGAGTGTTGAAGATGTGAGAATATGGCTAACTTTTTTCATGCTGACGTAGAAACACCCGGAAAAGAAGGGAGAAACCCTTCTTTTAGACTGCAGTCTTAACCTTTTTTTGAACTTGATTACTATTCACAGCGCTGAGTTTCTGTTTAATATGCCTCGATGCGTTAGTTATGCTTTTATTTATGTCGTATTGTAATTTAAATCCAAACGCTATTAATATCGTGAAATCAAAGTATGAGGCATGGTTCGCCCTCCAAAGAAATTTTCCCTTTTTTCGGCCAAGTTACGGACGTATGAAATAATTAACCATTCGTTCGCCTTTCCTGCATGCTCTGGAATATTAAAAAAAGACGAGAAAGTTGCCCAGTTTTTCTAACCTTTCAATGCTGCTCTACGGGGCTAAGAAGATTTTGATGTCGTTGTTTAGGTCATGTCGATCTGCATTATCTCTCTCCTATGCATTCATTATTTTTATACGTTTTAGTTTGTGCAACTTTCGCCCTGTGAAATGGTCTGAAGTGTGATCTTTCATGTTTCAAAATAAAATTATTGATCACTTATATCATAGGCTTCTAAAGGCACACTCCACGATAATTAGTTGGGCGGAGATTCGTAATCACTGCACCTTACTCATTGCTGTGTCCCGCACACATTATCGTGTTCCAGTGAGGGGCGCACAAATGGGAAGGGCACAATAGCCCTGAGTTTCCGCCCATTAACTGAGAAGCATGCCCTTAATAACTTGCTTTCATCGAATGCTTGACAGCTGAACATCTAGACTGCAAATACTGCTCTTTTACTACGAACAAACTCTTTCAAGAACAACGCTCAAACCCTCACGCGTCGCACTCAGAGGGGTCGTGTCAAGGAGGGCGGAGAACCAGCTTCCGGCCGCCCCTTTCTACGCCAGTAATTATTCTGTTAACAGCTCGATTTACGAAGAAACAGCCAGAGGTGGAGCTGTGAGTGGCTTCTTCCCTGCCCACTTGACAGCGCCCGACGGCGATGTCAACGGTATCAGCTGTATCTTGCTGCAAGAATACCCTTGAAAAAACACAAGCCCGTAAGAAACTAGTTTATGAATCATTTGCATCAATATCCTGCTACAATCGGCACTGAATCACTTTATCCGTTGGCACACCCAGTGTCTGGGCAACAAGAAGTCCACGCCATGAACTAACTATAGGCGAGCCAGCATCGTTGCACATCGCGTACCATTCTGTGGCCATAGAACGCTATGAACATACCAGTTCCTGGAAATGTTACTGTACCTGTTACTACATATAACTGTACCATTATATGTATAGCATAAGGTCCAGAGCTGTGGAAAATGAGGATATCTCCCGTCCAACGTCAACGGATATGCGTTGGAAGCATCTGACGTCTTGAAGGGACGCTACCTTTTAACAGAACTTCCGAGCTACTGGGATCGCTTTGGTGGCATAAAGATTAAGGCTCCTCAGGGGTGCTACCATGGCTATTTCATTAGTTGCTGATAGGCCACCTCAGCGAGGAATTCTGCTAAAATAGGTCATCAGCGCCAGTTGGGGCTTGTGGGGGCACATCCTTGGTCCCTATCAATTCACTGCGCAACCATCTCGTGGAGCATGCTAATTTCTGTGTATCTTGTCCCTATAGTACAGTTTCCTTCCACACTTGATGTGCGTCTCACACAAGACTACGTGTTAGTTGAACAGCAAACTAAGAAAGAAACAAAGAAAGTGTAAAATGCTCCTCCATATTCCAATGCGTCTAAAGTCTGCCGGCGAAAAGGAGATATTTGTTAGATGTATTTGGCACCAGTCGACTGATAGGCTTTGATCGCCAGACAGGGGCTTTTGACTGGAGGCGGCGAGGAAGCTTTCACTTTTCTGGTGACTCGTCGCGTGCTTTGAAGGCCCATTCCACGATAGTCAGGTGGGCGGGGATTCACTACCATAGTTTCTAACGCATTGGCATCACTGGTACTCTCCTCCTTCAAGTGTAGCAAGTTGTACAAAGCAGAGGAGCGACAACGAGGAAGAAACAATGGTCGTGAATCCCCGCCCATTCGACTTTTGCAGAATGTGCCATCGAGGGAGGAAATAGTGGGAGCATCGCCTGCAATTAACGTGCACAAATTTCCCATAGATCAGAACGGTTGTCCATCCCTTTTTGGTCGGTGATTCGATTACAAAACAGTGTGCAGTTCGGCTCTGTGTGGGCAGTTTGCTGGTTGCTACCAGGACGAGGCCTCCTGTGGAAAGCTGCAAAGCCTACGAAGCTATGCAGGAGCTGATTCACTTGGTTCACGCTTGACACGACTTTGCAGGTCTCCCGAGGTGGGGCGTTTTAGTTAAAAGCAACTAGCAACAGGAGCTAGCGAAAGAGCAAGATGCCCCCCCTCTCCCCACAGCACCTCAAAGGTATTGCAGGTCTGGTTGTTGGTTCGAATGCATGGAGCACATTAGGAATTGACGTGCTCAACACGTTATTCTCTATTAAAAAGCAACTATGTTTACCTATAAGTAAATTGAACCATAAAGCTGTATTCCAGATCGACTTATTCTTGATGAGCTTTGAGACCGAGAAGAAAATACCTGAAAGTAGCTAGCTTTAATGGGTGAACTTCACCGATGACAAGATTGTGAACAGCCCAAGACTGGCAAAGAGAACGTCTCGGAAAGTCTCACCTCCGCATACGAAATAAAGCATGAACATGACGGGATAGAAGATTCGGAAGGCGACACCAAACCAAAACTCATGGAAAAAGGCCGAGATGAAGAAGACACCGATTTGAGCGATTTGCAGGCCACGACGTCCGCCAATTAGCTAAAAGTAATAATAAATAACATATATAACTGTACAATGATGAACAGCTGGCAAAAAACGACTATCAGTGAGAAGTATCGTATTTTCAGAGCGGCCTTTTATGCGTGAAACAGTCCTCTATCAAGCCACAGTCCACGGCCTTGTGGGCGGAGTCGGGCCTAAGGAGTGCTCATTGGCGAGTTTCTACTTTCCAAAGGTTAACAGGAGGAGAATACCCGATGAGGAAGACGCGAAGACAAGCTTACGCCCTTGTCATCATTGCGGATTGGGCCTTCGAAAGAGCATTCAGCGATCGAATATGGTGGGTGGTGAGGCTCAAGTACTACTGACGCGGTGATAATTAATCTGTGATGGGGGGGGGGAGGGGAGGCAAGAGAGAAACCGCTGGGAATTTCCGAAATAGGTGGAATCCTATGCATAACCGATTTTTGAGAGCATAGCGCTAAGAGAAGGCGGGGTTGGAAGAATTCTCACTTGTTATTGACAACTCTTTAACCTTTGAACCTCATTCTCAAGTATTCAGAACGTAAATGGCTAATGTAAGTACAAAAC